GAAGAAATTTCAATAATTCGCCTATCTACACTTGACATATTTTTTATTATTAGAATTTTTCCAATATGATGATCAGAGCCAGGAAAAAGCAATTTTCACTTGGAAACATATATATAGATTTATATTTTCAAGCAAAGACGGATGTCGCTACTGCTTTATATCAGACTGCTCGAGGTGGTACGAATCCTGAAATTGTTGGTGCAGGGCCAAAGCTCTTATCACCAAGCCAACGAATTAACCCAAATTTATTCCAAATTATTTAAGACAGTGTTTCTCAGCCTCTTCATATTATGCCCCACATTAACATTTATAAAAAAAAATTAAGTTTTCACCTTTAAAGGTAGCTTTATTTTAAACTAATATAAAAGATAAATAATAAGAATAAAATACTATGGCTGAGAAAACACTAAATTGGTGTGTTTTGTTAATTTTGATGCCAATGTTTAGTAGTGCATAAATAAAGTGAATGTTTTAATTCGTACATTTTTTAAATTGCTTCTTTTGGCTAGTGAACCGCACTTTGGCAAGCACTGTTTTAAGTACAATTTAATATATATATATATATATATATATATATATATAGGTGAGATAACGAAGCTTACTATTTAATATTTGTCTTCTGTCACCTCGACTTACAATGGTATTGGCTGATGTGCATCAATTTTTTTAATTAGCAGAATATTTTACCAGTTACCACCAGTTACTAATTAGTTTTATTTTCTAGCATTCATACGCAGAAAACGCAATGAAGAGAAGTACTAGGATGGTATGGATACGAGAGGCAAAACGACATCAAGGACGGTCAACCTCCAAAAAAGATATCAAAGATTGACATGCATTTGAATACCGAGCAGGAGGAAGATCGTCTTCAAGATTCTGGTGAAACATCAATAGACGTTGCTGAAGAAGTGGTCGAGTCCGAATCCAAATCATATACGACAGACACATCTGTCATCATTAAACAAGAACCTCCTGAAGAATTGCGAGTGGAAGAATTAAATGATCAGAAATGGAGAAGTCCTGTGATAGTGAAGAATGAAGTATTTTCGCCGGAAATAGGTTGGTAAAAGATATTTGCAGTAGTTCCTAAGATAAAAGTAAATACTATGTTTCGATATAATAGTTTCTTTTAATGCTGCATTTTTTGAGTTTTTCTTATATTCTGGTGTAAAAACAGAACTATGAAAACAGACTATTTCTTCTGATCCTTGATTTTACCTGACATTGAACTTTTTAAAATAAAACCAAGAAATTCTACTGGCCAGATTGTCATCTACTGGCATCATAGTGTATGAATGTAAAATATATGTATGTATCCGGGATAGACGACCATCAGAAAACTTGATTTACTCGAAAATGTTGGGTAGTGACAATGTTACTATGCTACAGAATTATTTCTATAAATTATTCACTTTATCTTAGAATCAAATTTCTTATCCCATAAAAATTGTGAGATTGCATTTTACCCAAGAGTTGTAAGATTCTTCACATTTTCCTTCATGCAATAAGAGATTTGTTTTTTATTTACTCTTGTTGTAACTTCCAAACATGATGACTATTAAAAATATTACTGTTTTAAATTTTACTTCTATTAACAACAAGACTACCATAGTTCAGCGAATAACACAATATTTTCTCTGACTTCCTAGAAGAGCTTTTCGCTCGACAAACATATAGAATGGTACTTTTTATTTTGCGCTGTGAAAACAATTGTAATTGAGCTTATCTGCGGGTAAGTTTTATGGAAACAATGTAATCCGGCATTGATCGTTATTACAAGTGTAGTACTAAGGACATCAACAAAGTTGCAACATTTGCGAAACGAAATGCCCTTTTCAATTTTATTATTGATACATTGTTTTTGACGCAGTATTATATATATATATATATATATATATATATATATATATATATAAATCCTCTATAAGTTTTAGTACTTAATATGGTCTTTTAGATAGTGTGCAATTCAATCAGTTTTGTATGGAAATAGCAAGAAATTTTTTTCAAATATTTTAAAAATGTTTTGTAGATATAACATAGCGAACAAATGAATGAGTTTTATTCAAAATTCGATGCTCTTCAAAACAAATTATAAAAAACCTGTTTTGCAGAGCGTCGAATTTTCAATAAAAGATGACACGAATTGTCACCTTTGCTAAATTCATTTGTTGCTAAGCTATACCTAAAAAACATTTTCAAAATTTTTGAAATTTTTTCCATGCTATTTCCCTACCAAAGTTATCTAAAAGTTAATATTAAGAGCTAAAACTTTTAGATAATTTTTTTATCAATTTGGGGAGCAATAAAATTCGAAAATGACCTTTTTTTTTTACATGAGCATTAACATTAAGCAGAGATTGCTAACAATGAATATCTTACAATATAAACCAGAAGATAGTAGCAACACCTAGCGGCGTGTCTACTAGATATAAGGACTAATTATCTATCCTCGAAGTATTTGCCGACATTTTTATTATATGTGCAACTATACCCACGAGAGGCGATTTTCACTTGAGGCTATATTTGAGATCTGTGACCTCAAGTGGAAATTTGACATCAAAGTTGCCTAGTTCCCAAAGTTCCCAAAGGGAATCGAACCAGCGAACCCAGAACTAGTTGCTGCTAGCCCGCGCTCTAACCGATATCGCCACCGCTGGCCCTCCCTAATAGATATATAGGGTAGGACGAGACACAAAAGTCCAAATGCGCAATTATATCGTGAAAACCAAAACAATTATAATAAATAAACTAGTGGGGTGGGTGGCATCGTGCCTTAAGGCAAATTGCTGGAACTTCCCGTACCGTAACGAAACGTTCGAGGAATATTGAATGTTTTCAAATAGATTATTATAAATATTGTTATATTGTCTAATATTTATAATAATTATATAAACTGAATTGCAGAGTTGAAATTATTTGTTTAAAGTATATTAGAACTATAGTCAGAATTAAAAATAAAATCTGAATTATTTTCGATATACAAAAAATTTAAAAAAAAAAAAAAAAATGGTACAAATTTTTTTTTTCCAAAATCAATTATTTTGTTAAGACAAGCAGAAAGTTCTTTGAATCAATTGAATCGGACGTTTAGTTCTCACAAAAACTGCCATTTTTTGTACATTTAGCTCTGTATCTCCGAAATGGCTGGGCCTGCCTTTGCGCGAAACTAATAACCCTTTCTCCCAATCATTACTAATGGAATGTTTTTTAGATCATTCAAATCGGATGCTCCGTTCTCTCAAAAACTCGATTTCTATTTTCTGCACTCTTTGCTCCTTATCTCCGTAACTGCTGGACCTGTTTTTGCCAAAAACTAATCAGCTCTTCTCCTTATTAATAGGAATCGAATGTTTTTTAAACCATTCAAATCGGTTGATCCGTACGCCCGAAAACGTGGACGAAAATTTGTATCCATACATACAACACACACACACACACACACACACACACACATCCATTTTTTCTGAGGTATGCCAAAACGTTCAGAAACCTTCAAAACGTCGAGAAATGTAAAAATTTTCAATTCCGATTTTCGGCCCATTACAATAACTTACCCTACGGGAAGTTAACAATATCTGACAATGTTCAGTAAAAATCCGAGCAAACACATCATTCTAGAAATGCGTTTTTTTGCTGTTTTTCAAAAATGCTGAATGGGATATTTCACTCGAAGCTGCCTCTGATACGGTTGACGAATCACGAAAGATACGAGCGCTATTTTACATCTTGATAACAAGATATAACAGAATCGCATTTTTTCGGATTTTCATTTAGATGTGTTATACAGACACTTTCGTGTGAATTTAATGAATTTACAACTTCATTCCTATAGTGGCTACATTATAATTTTATCATCATCAATACTTTGAAAAATATTTATTAAACATATTAATTAGTAGAAGAAAGCAACGATTGTTCGTGGTGCGGCAAAACGCTGCTCTTTTGTGAAGGCGCAGTGTCGGCTCCAACCGGCGGACGTTACTGCTCCGATACCTGCTTCGCCCAGTCGCGAAGGGCATCATTCAAACGGGCAAAAATATGCGACTGGTGTCGACACATACGGCACACGGTCTCCCAAGAAGATTACCAGGTTAGATTATACACTTAACTATTCAAAATTCTTAGTTCAGAAAAATAACAAAATTTACTAATATTCAATAACGAATTCTGTCAGGGTGCAACATCTGGGTTACAGTTCTGTTCCGACAAATGTTTGAATCAATACAAAATGCACGTTTTTTGTCGAGAAACACAAACTCAACTAGAACAACATCCACATCTTCGAGCATCCTTAGAACAGACAGCAAGTGCAGCCGCTGGATCGAAGTCAAAAGAAGGTATACTATCCGATAAATCAACTAGTGGCCATGGAATCGTGCCTTAAGGCAAATTGCTGCAACTTCCCGTACCAAAAATTAAAGTTTTAAAAAAGATTCATTTTTTTAGAACTTTGAAAAAATGGATTTTTGAGATCTTTAAAATTTTTGATTTTTTTTTTATTTTTTATACTTTGAAATAGTTTGAAAATTTTTAAAGCAAACGCGATACGTTAGCTACGTACAAATGAAATATCGAAGCGCGTGAGCGTGGCGTCACGGTATAACGGATAAACGTTGGTACGGAACCATTAGAAATGTGAACAAAATTTGTTCTTATTATTAAAATATCTATGAAATATATGATAATTTGATGTGTATATGTCTAATGATCATTTTTATCCGCCAAATGGCATTTTTTTACCTTTTTTATTGAATCTCCATCAGTTCTTAATTTCGTCAATACAAATAAAATGTTTTCTGAACCATCCAAATCGGACGCTGTGTTCTCTCAAAAATTGAATTGCCTTTTTTGGCACTTTTTGCCCCTTATCTTCGGATCGGCTATCTGCCAAAAGCTAATCAACATGTCTCCTTGTCAATAGGAATCGAATGTTTTTTGAATCATTCAAATCGGTTGATCCGTGTTCTCGAAATCGTGGACGAAAAATTGTATCGGCACATACATACATACACACGCACGCACACACACACACACACATACATACATCAATTTTTTCTAAGGTATGCCAAAATGATCAAAAACCTCTGAAACGTAAAGATATATAAAAAATTTCATTTTTGATTTTTTTGCGATTAATATAACTTATCCTACGGGAAGTTAATAACTATTATATTATACATGATTATTGTATTTGTAAAATAAATGTGCTTGATATGTCTGTCATAAAGTATAATGAAAAATATTTATAAGTGCAGTTCCATGAATATTTATAAGTGTAGCTACATAAATTAAAAAATGTATTTATTAAGAAAGATTAGCCCTAATAATTTTTTATTACCAGGTTTGATAACACCAGAGTTATGGATGCATGATTGCCGGGACAATTCATTATCACCATCTACTGATGAGACTGCAAACCAGACAACATCGCCCAACAACCATCAGAATCAAAATTTTGAGCATCTTATAGACCAACACACAAGTCCGACGTTGTTTCAAATATCAGACACAAGAGGTTTAGCAAGTCTACAGCCAGTTTCATTAACTCCACCAGAAGTACCGAGAACATATAATAAAACCCGCGAAAACAAACGCAAAAAATTCTTTGCAAACAATAACATTCCTTTAAGCGATGCCAATTTAAGAAGCAAGACTCCCGCACCTGCTAGTGTAATTTCTTCTGGTGTTAATATAATGAACTCCACACCTGCTAGTTCTGGATCAAGTCCCAATTCAACAGCTCATTTCAGAAGTACAACACCAACGCCGTATTCGATGAGACGAACAGCAACAACTCCAACGCCTGCTTCAAGTGGGACGAATTGCATTCCTTTTAATAATCCTGGATCTCAAATTCCGCCTGCTCATAATTTAAAAACTGTGAGACAGCAGCATGCACAACGGCGTCCTCAGATGCGCCCAAGGTATGGCATGCAACAGCCAATAGTAGGGCCTCCACCAGTTACAGTATTAGTACCTTATCCAGTGGTAATGCCAGTTCCAATGCCAATACCAATACCAATACCTCTTCCATTTGCTGAATTTGTAAAAGCGTACAACCGACAACCCCGCATGTATTCCGTCCCAACAACGAATGCTGAAGTTGAAAATTTGTCAGCAAATGCGACGCAAGTTGGACCCTTAGACTGCTCGGTAAAAAGGAACCAATCCAACTTACCAAATGAAACTATGCCAAATGCATTTTATTCCAATGATACTACGCCCGTAAATAAATTCAATGGAGAGAACCAAGTATTCAACGAATCAGCTAAGCTTTTACAGAAAAAGGCACGCAGACGGAGGAGGCCTATTAAACAACCAACAGATTAGTATTTCAATAAGATGTAGAATAGATTGCAAGGGGAGTCTAGAATCCAAATTATTAAAAAACCACTAGGTTCTAGATATATAGATCCGAAGTCGGTATGCGTGATAATTTTCTACTAAGCTGATAATACCACACTATTGATAAAAGACAATTATCGTAACATATTAATCTAATTTGAAATATCTGCTATTTGATTATTTTTATTTTGTATAGTCATTACTTAGTGTAATAATTTTTTTAATGGACGAATTAAATAATATTGTTTTGAAACATTACTGTCGACATTTATGAATTAGATATGGTTTACTGAAGTTCTCTAACTTTTTAATTTGTCTATTAGTCTGAATTTGTACCTGTTCGTACTGAAAATAATGGTAAAATCGGAGTCCTTAACAACCAACTATCAGACATCAGATATTTCATAATATTTATTTTTATACTCTTTCCAATTTATTATTGTAAATGAACAATGTATTTAGAATACGTTTCCATGGCGCGTCGAATAAAAATTTAAGTTCTTTTTATATTATTAATGAAAGATCTATTAATTTTAGAATATCTACTAGTCCAGTCATTATAGTAAGTTCACCTCGGAGTTCGAGATACCCAGCTGTAAGTCTGTAAATTCTTATATATTGACACCCTAAAGTTATCTCAAAACCTACATATGGTATTAACACCCTACCATATGTAGGTTTTGAGACAACTTAAGGGTGTCAACATACAAGTATTTACAGACTTACAGCTGAATATCTCGAATTCAAGAGATTCTTACCTAATTTAAGCTTAAATGACTGGACTGTACACCATATACTTGTTAAGGCATATTTCTATTCTATTCTATTTATAGTTATGATTGTAAGAGAATAGATTTAATTAAGTTGTTCAAAAATCAATGAAAACTTTATTCATTATTAATGAAGATGATTTAAAACAAAAGGCAGTAACATATTGCATTGAAAAAGTTAAATGTAGGGTTGAATTGCAGTTACTTTGTTACGCTTACTATAAGAGTAATAAATATTTGTTTTATACTTTCATGTTATCTTTATTTTTGTGCCTAAGAAATATAAGATATTTGTTACTATTATGAATTATTTAATTTTAATAATATTAATGATATAATATATAATTAAATAATATTCAATCAATAATATTATAAATATATATCAATAACATTATAAATATATATAAATAATATATCTTTCCTGAATCGAGTTGGAGTTTAACTCAGCTCACCCACTATTAATATTATAATATTATATATAAGTTAAATCTATTCTTTGAGTAAGAGCTGTTCATATTCAAACCTTTAAATTATATCGAAATTAACAGTCAAATTGGTTAATTTTTACTTGCGATTCAGTTTAAAATAAAATATAAGCAATTCAGTCCACTACAATGGTTATCTATGATATTTTATGTTTTAAGTTTTTAAAACATTCAAACATATATATATATATATATATATATATATATAATTGTTATATTTATTATACATTTTTGCAATAGAAAAAAAATCATAACTATAGACAGCAACCCATGGAAATGTATCTTTCGAAACATTACGTGTACAAAATCATTCTAAAATCCAAGAAACAAAATCCATATTAACATGTTAATTGCCATCTCAGACATATATGTCTGACATCCGCAATTCGGTAGAAGAAAGAAAGAAGTTAGTCATATATGTGTAACATAAAAAAATAGTGTTTTTGCAGGAATTTCTGCAAAAAAATATTGTTTACCTTGATACATGTTTAATTAAATTATCTAATAAAGTTATGATGACCCATGTGAAAATTTATCTCATATTATCATGGCGATTAACGTGTTAATTTCTATTTATTTAGCCGCAAAACTAAACCCCATCAACTGCTCGCCATGAAAATGGCCCTTATATGTATATATAGATTTTTGCATGCCAAAAATAGATAATCCGACACGATCAAATAGATATATAATATAAAATTATTGTTATTAAGTGATAAACTCTATTATAATTTATTAAAAATATATACCGCCTTATTGCACAATGCGATAAGTGTTAAAACATTGTGGATTTTTATTTAATGAGAGTTAGGAAATTATTTCATATGATAAATGACACCATTTGCATTTTACAGGACATTGGAGGTATTTAAAAAAAGAAGTAACCAGTAGTGTAAGGCATCAGGCCTTAAGGCAAATTGCTGGAACTTCTTGTACCGTAACGAAATGTTCGAGAAATATTAAATGTTTTCTAATAGATTATTATGAATACTGTAACATTGTCTAATGTTTATAAGAATTATATAAACTGAATTGCAAAGTTAAAATTATTTATTTGAAGTATATTGGAACTTAAGTCAGAATTAAAATTAAAATCTGAAGTTTTTTGAATCAATCAAAATGGACGCTTAGTTCTCTCAAGAACTGCAATTTTTTGCACACTTAGCTCTGTATCTTCGAAATGACTGGACCTGCCTTTGCCAAAAACCAATCACCTCTTCTCCCAATCATTACAAATTGAATGTTTTTTAGACCATTCAAATCGGATGCTCTATTCTCTCAAAAACTCGATTTATATTTTCTGCACTCTTTGCTCTGTATCTCCGTAACGGATGGACCTACCTTTGCCAAAAACTAATCAGCACATCTCCCTATCAATAGAAATCGAATGTTTTTTGAATCATTCAAATCGGTTGATCCGTGCGCCCGAAAACGTGGACGAAAAAATGCTGACACACAAAACAGACACACACACATCAATTTTTTCTGAGGTATGCCAAAATGTTCAGAAACCTTTGAAACGTAAAGATATGCAAAACTTTTCATTTTCGATTTTCGGCTCATTACTATAACTACCCTACGGGAAGTTAAAAAACATTATTGTGTAATTAAAAAAAATTCTAAAGATTTATGAAATACATGTGTCCTATAACAGTCAAAATGGCGAAGTGACAAGCAGTGACAAGTGTTGCATCAATTAGAAATATTATAATTTTTGTTTATAATTTTGGCTACATAGAACTAATAACAGGTAATGATTCAACAATAATAATTAAGTCTGATAACTTACCTTTATCCATTATCACTTAAAAACACCTGATTTGCACTTTCACAAAACAAAAAGACCAAATAAATACTTGACCTTTGCCCCACAGAATCAAAACTTGCACTGACCAGAACGAATGCATTGAAGACACTTTGACAACTTACAGGAATAAAGATTGCAAAACCGCGAATTTTAAAATTATTATTAACTTCCCGTAGGGCAAGTTATAGTAATCGCAAAAAAATCGAAAATGAAAATTTTTATATATCTTTACGTTTCAGAGGTTTCTGAACATTTTGGCATACCTTAGAAAAAATGGATTTGTGTGTGTGTATGTGTGTATGTGTGGATACAATTTTTCGTCGTCTATTTGGTCATCCAATTTGAATGATTCAAAAAACAATCGATTCTTATTGGTAAGGAGATGTGCTGATTAGTTTTTGGCAAAAGGTGGTCCAGCCGTTTTGGAGATACGAAGCAAAGACTGCAGAACATAAAAATCGAGTTTTTGAGAGAACGGAGCATCCGATTGAATGATCCACAAATCATTCATTCGTTATGATAAGGAGAAGGGGTGATTAGTTTTTGGCAAAGGGCAGTTCGAGTCGTTTCGAGATACGGAGCTAAATGTGCAAAAATAGCAGTTTTGAAAGAAATACGCATCCGATTCGAATGATTCAAAAAACTTTTCCGGATTTGATCCCGTTCGAGCAACCTGATTGTCAAGCAGTCGTGTCATAGGTTTACACTTGGAATAATAGATTGAAATATGTTTCCAAGTGAAAATGGCTTTCATCCGCCATTGCTGCATCAATAAATATTCACCCTATTATATACAGAAATTGTAATAATAATGTATTATACAGAGATGGGACAACTGTTTGGATTGCCATCTGTAGTACAGACTAGTATACGGTCCAAATCTGCACAACAGCTTATATACTCTAAAATTGTAATTGCTTTTCAAAAATAATAAAAATATAAGGATCATCCGGAACGCAAGATTACTACAGTGGTATGTCACAGCGCCAGTTTTTTGAATTTTAAATATTACCACGTATCACAAAAATACCTTAAAAATTGATCAAGTGATTAATGGACGGCCCTAAGCTGTTGTGATGATACCCAATGGTTGTCCTATCTTAAGCGATGTATTTTATAGAAAGCAATTGAAGGCAGTGGTTGTCCTTCTTAAAATTATTATGATATATTTTAACTTATTGCAGCAATGCCAAGTGGAGCTTTCCATTTTTATTTGGAAACATTATGATCTGCTTTATAGCACCTGCCCGAAATTACAAATATCAAATAATATATAAAAGTTCAATTTTTTAAGTAGTTTTTTTTTGTAATTATCAAAAAAAAGTATAAAGAAATATATGTCCACGTCTTGAATCGATTCAAAATTTGTTCGAAAGGTATTTGATGGGAATCGCGTTGATTAGATTTTGGTAAAGATAAGCTGGTCCGTTTTTAGTAGATAAAAACGGATTTTTTTTTCTGATTGATTTTGATGAAACTTTACATAACATACTAGAATACGGTAAACGGTTGAATTATAAAAAATCATTAAAATTTCTATATTTACCTTTACCTACATATCGTTAATGTCACCTATCTGTTAAATTTTTTCCCTGTATTTAGGATTTCAGCTGAGACCGTGCATAATTATGAGTAAAATCAATTTATTTACCATACTGATCCTAAAATATGCGACCTGTTAGAAAATCTAACTGTATAAAATAACAATTGGTCTATTAATATTAAATATTTAAGTTATACGAATAACGTGTTTCATTATCCACTGCTTCTGATTCGATACCCGCATCGCTTGACATCAAGCAGTATCGATATCTTATTTGATTTTTATTTGATTTTATACCCCAGTGAAAATAGCCTTACAGGTGTTTATATTATATATAAACAATATATATATATCACATCAGTATTACATTTAAAATGAAA